CCTGAGAAATGTGATAAGACATCTTATTTCCTTGACTACTTATTTTTCCTCCAGATATTTACCTGGGTCAGCCACTGTCACATTTCACTGCTGTCAGTGTGACAGTTTTATTAAGGCACTCCGTTTTTTTTTTTTTTTAAGTTCAGTTGTATTTTATTTTATGTCACTTCCAGTCTATTCCCTGTTTAGCTGCAGACCATAGCGACAACTAAAGAATCTACTGAACTGTCCCACCCTACAGGCAGAATCCATCACTGAAAACCTTGTATTAATGATGATTAGCGGTGCTCATGGACCTCTGTTTTTTAGTGTCAACTAATGGGATTTTAAACAGATGTGATCATGGTTTAAACTGTTGTAACTAAATCCAACATTTGTTTCAAGATCTGTATCCAATCAGTCCCTGAAGGAAAGATTTGCAGGTCTTTTCCTTGCTGAAACAAGAAACTAGTCAGTCACAGTGCAGATAACAGCTATCATGTGGTTTGAATGTCCATTACTGTTTCCATTCTCTGCACATGCTTATTGTATCCTTTTACCTCATGCGATCAAGATGGCTTATGGATTTACTTCTAGACTGCTGGCAGATTGTTCGTGTCTGCTAAGTCACCGTGTGAATCTTAGATCACTTTTTGCCTGATTGTGACTCAGTGTTTTCCTTTGATGCATATGAAACGAGCTGATTTCTGATAAATAGAAAATAGGATCTTGCAAAGGTAGGCTTTCATGTAGCAGCTTCCTTTGAATGTTAAATGAATAGGTCTGAGTATAATTCTGTAATTATAAAGCCCACAAGCTGAAACAGCCTCTCTCTCTCTCTCTCTCTCTATCCCCTCTCTGCTCCTGTCTTTGCTCTGTTGCCATGGCACCTCAGCACCTCACCTCACCTCTTCAATTTGCTTTTGTGTTCCTCTATTAAAGGCTTCGTCACCTGGACCCAAAGCAGTGCAGACAACAGCAGCAGGAGCAGAACCTGAATCACAAGATGAAGTCTTTGGTAAGAGGTCAAAACACATTTTGAATTAGTGTTTACATTATGCTGAACTCCTAAATGATGCACACAAAGTTGTTAACATGCATTTATACTTTCAGCTTTCCTCAGTTATCTGTATGTGCTTCTGTTAGAATCACCATTGTTAACGGACTTCTAGGAGTTGTACTGCATGGCAGGGCACCAGACTAACATTTGATACTTGTGGCACTGGTGCCACTTAGATGGTGGCACCGCCTCTCAGTGTGTGGATCAACACAGCTGATGGATTGAAAGTCGCTGCCTCGTGAGACGAGTGACAGACCTGCAGATAAACATTGCGATGACAGTATTGCAGTCCACCATTTCTAGTGGGAGCAGTTGCTTGTGCATAACCTGTTTATGTTGCAGTCGTGCCCAGTGCGACCTTTGAAAAAAGTCAGTCTCACATTAAATAAATTTAGTTGCAAAATGGGACTGATCACTTGCAGTCTGGAGCCCTGATTGGCTAATAGGCTCAGTGCAGAAGAACATAACATGCAATCCCAGCATATCAGTTAGTAAGACTTATTATGGGCTGTTCAAAAATACTTGTCATAATGAATCAGTTTTTAAAGTGATTTTGTCCAAAAGTCTATCATTTAATGAAATATAGGTCCCCCACCGCACTCCGTCTTAGTCCTAAAGCACAGTATAAAGCTGAAATAACAGCCACAAATTCCCATCGACGCAGTAGCCTCTTGAGCTCCTCATCTTGACTCGATATCTGTTGAACAGCTTCCGCTTCACAACACTGGCTCAGAAGCTGCTAATCCTGCAGTGTGACATTCGTTTGGAGTGAGTTGACTGGCTGGTGAAAAGTAGCACTTGCCGATGATGGATGAATCTTCATGGCTTGTGGAAGCCAGCTATTCCCCAGAAGAAAGTTTCCCTGAGTTTCATTTCTCATAGTTTGCTCTTAGAGAAGTTTTCCATCAGTCCCACTCATTGTAATTGATGTCAGTGTATTAGAAAACCCTTGTAATTCTGCTGTTCTGCAGACGAGGGCAGAATTTGATGCACAACATTGCCGAACTCTGTAGTTGATTTATTTCAGTGCTAGATGCTTTTACAAACTGGTTGAAGGAATTATCCCTGAGGCCAGAAGAAAATTGTAATTGCTACAGCAAATTTGCAGACTTTTTTTTTTTTTTGTAATTAGGCAGCAGCTCTGATTTCAAGGTTGAAGGTTTGAATCTCGGTGCCTGCAGTCCACATGTTGGGCAAGACACTGAACCAAGACACTGGTTAGAGCTATCGGTTGAGGTGGCGCCACAGATGGCTGCTATCGGTTCTGTACCAGAAACAAATTCCTTGTGTGTAACATACTTGGCCAATAAAGGTGATTATCCTTATTATTAACTTCAAGTTTAATAAGTTATTGTAACTTTCATCATACACATTCAGAACATATAGAAGCGAGATACCGTTCTCCCTTCATCATAATGTTCAGTACACAACATTCACATTTTAAAAAGCAAAACAATCCACACATTAGAAATACAGTGACAAACAGAGCAAAACAATCCTAAAAGCACAATCATTCATTGTAATCAAATCGAAGTCAGACTGGATTTTCTACTGGGATAAAACTGTAACTGAAGTACACTGCATGCATAATAGATCAGGCTACATAAAAAATATATAATAGCATCACTCTGTCAATATTTAAATTTATGAGACCTTACCATGAAATCCACTTCCCCAGTGCATTTTTCCCCACTGTGAAAGAAACCTGAGTCACCGAGGTGTCCTTTTGGTTCCTGTTGACTTTGACGACAGTATGTCAGTGAAGATGCTGCTTCAGGCGCCTCCCAGGGTGAAGGAAATGATTTTTTTTTTTTTCCCCACACACACAATATGTGATTTGGCCAAACATCAACAGCAGAGTTATAGTGTATTGGCTTTTCATAGCTGCCTGTTCAGATTTGGTGGCATCCCAAAAAAGATTGGTAACCTAAGACAAAGGCAAGTCTGTTTTTCAACTGAACAGAAGTATTTGGCAGAGTCATAATCCTTCATGTGACTCAAATAGCAGTTTTTTTTTCTGTACTTTTGCTGCTATTTTCACTCTCGCTACTTGAGATGTTACCTCTTTTACTGCTTCTACCTCTATTAAGGCTAAAGGATCCTTTTCAAACAAAACTGATTCAGAATTGCAGGTTCAACATCACCAGAGTCACAACTTTATTTAGGCTATAACATTATTCACAAGTCACCTTAAAAGAGGTTGGAAAAAATAATTATGCTTTAACTGATAATACATTTTAATTTTTTATTATTTCTTATACATTCACACGCACCCAGCTGTAGCTAAGCTGAGCACCACCATCAGCAAGATGCAGGCATGATGTAGAAAATGTCCCAACATGACTAAGACCTTATTAGGAGGTCATCATATAAATGAATGAATAAATAAATAAAATTGTACCTAAAACTGCTTCAAGTGAAGGGGTGATTCTGTGCCTTTGAGGACACAAGCTGTCAGTGGATGTTTCTGGACACAGACCGATGATTTCTCTATACCTGTAGAGCTAACTTTGTATTTGGCCACGTTTAGCATTACACTGCTGCTAGCTGACATTTCTCACTGGAATATGGACCATGTTAAGCACCAGAATTGACAGACATCTGTAAAGTCGGCTTCCGGTGCGGGCTCCCGTAAAAAAAAAAAAAAAAAAAAAAGGTATGCAGTTCAACAATGTCGCATTTACCTCAAACAGTAATTTCATGGGTTTCCAGCAGGTTGTTTCATTTCAAAGTATTGAAAATGTCTATATTTAAGTAAATATGATACTGCGGAAATGTCTTGCACATGCATCCTCTAACGCTTTTAAACAAGTCCGTATATATGCTTGCTGCATGTCGGTATCGGCACTATTACATGTTGAAGTTTAATTTATGGAAAATAATCAGCAAACCTGGGAGTGAGAGAGGAGACTTACTTATATTACTACTACTGTCAACAACAACAGCAGTTGGCCATTTTAAAGTTATTGCCAACTTTTATATGTCTTTTTATGAACCCAGTTTGTGTTTCAAGATATGAGTTGAGATCACAGAACTTCTTGTTATAAACTGCACCAAAGGTTTGGACTGGATTTGGAAAAACAGCATTTAAATATAGAGGAGAAACTGACTTTTGGTGAATTTAAAGGATTTATGGCTTTTTGGGGTGTATAAGTGCGTAATGTGATTTTGCGATTTTGTTTTGTAATTATCTTGTTGCTGCTGTCTTGACCAGGTCTCTCTTGCAAATGAGCTTCAGAATGTCGATCAGATATTACCTACTTAAATGAAACTAAATCGAAGAGAAAATGAACTGTAATAAAAATAAGGAGGAATCTGATCTGAATGTGTCTTTTCCATCAGTTCAGGTCTTCTAACACACAGTCAGCCCTAATATTGATTGATTATACAACAAATACACAATCATTCCAGCTGCCTTAAAGGCTGGTGGGGGCTCATCAACTGATTTTCAAAGAAAGATCAATACTGACTTAATATTATGTAAAGGCAATTTATCTAACTCTGGCATGTTGTTCGTGTGTGTGTGTGTGCGTGCACGCATACGTGATTGAATTTGTGGGTGTCCATATTGATGTTGTGTCATGGCAGCTTGCTTGAGTATGTAATCATGCCTCCTTGTGCAGAAAGTAATATGCAGTAGCTGCCCAAGAGCCACTGTTTGTTGCCGTTCTCACTGATTCTTTATTATCAGCAGCAGAGTTGTAACATGCAGAGACTGTGTCAGATTGATCTGATATTATCCATATCCTGCATCTAATTCATGTCCCTGGTGTTAAACAGTTGCCATTGATCAGCATGGAGCAGACTTGGAGGATACGCAAATGACACAAGTAATACTTCAAAGTGGCCGCCCACACAACACACAGTGTCATTTGAGGACAACAAAATATTGAGGCACAGTGGCTTGCTCAGCTTGTAACCAGGTTTGCCTATTGCCTTAGTAATTTCATTTAATTATTTTTTTATATCAGCTTGATTCGACATTTTCTTACATCTTTTCTTCTGTGACCTCAGTGTCTTCACAAAGGAGTTTCTGGCAGCTCACGGTGAAAACGCAAGTTAACAAGTTTATGTGGCAATCACCTTAAAATGGGAGACAAGCAGCAGCAACTTAAAACATGACTCCAGTGTCTGCTACACTCATTCAGGTTTTTGAGTCTGCTTAACAGTGAACAGTACTGAGCTGTACTTACACCATCAGGAGAAATATTTAGCTTGGTTAATAGAGGGCAGTGAGTGGGAAGATGAGAAACGGCATAGGAGCTGGAGTTTAAGGGCATTTTGTTCATAGCTCATATCAGTGTGTTTTTTTTGTCTGAGTTTATTTTGTTTGTTTTGGTAAAAAGCTGCCTCAAAACATCTCGATATTCATGCATAGATTTCACTTTGCTGCTTAATGTCTATCTACTTCTTTGCTCAGTTAGCACTGCTCTCTGAAAGTGTGCAAAGAGACAATTTTCTTGTTGGTTTCCAACTTCAGGAACATAGCTGCCAGGACATACTTAAAACCTTCCTCTCACCTGTGCATCAAGGCTGAAGTAATTGAGTACCCTTAGGTTGATTTAGGGCACAGGCAGAAGAAAATAACAGGAATTTCCACCAAACCAGGCTGCTGTGAGTGTTTTATGATAGGCAGGTTAGTAGTGCACTATTAGAGCCTGTTTTGGTGTAGCTGTCATCAGCAGGCATCATGACTCATCTCTACCTGCTCTGCACTTCCTGTTTGCATTGCTTTTCCACTAAAGGGCAAACACCACCATCAGCTGTGCAGATGTTAAAAGCCCATTATGGTTCCATTACCTGGCCCGGCCTTCAGCAGGGCCCCACTCAGCAAAACAGACCTCCTCTCTATGTCTGCCTGTTCTGTCCTGACTCTGTAGGTCAGTTTGGTGATGATGCATTTTAGGACACCATAGCTTAAAGGACCATATGGGTGGTTGCACATGGTTTATCTCATC